GGGGAGGGGGCGACGAAGAGGAAGAAAACATTGGCTGCATTTAGAAGCTCAGAGGGCCAGCTGGGGAAGTTACAAGTCAATACGCTGGGAGTCTGAGTAACATGCACTAACAACCAATTGTACTTTTTTTTTTCTTTTTTACTGAAATTTTAGTATTATGCAGAGACAGCCACGGCTCCCTGCCCCTTAATAAAGAACAAACACTGCACTAATCTGGCTCAAGGCATCTGCTGATCATCCTTGGTCATTTACAACTTCCTTTTATTTCTCTCTTCTGGGAAACAGGAAAAAGAAAATCTTGAGTGGAAGAGATAGGGAATGGTGTGGTTACAAAAAACACATTCGGTTCAGGGTGAACTGGCAACAGCCAGTCTGCTCCCTGTAGTTAGTGTGCAGACCCTGTTGGGGGCAGAGACGAGCCACCCGGTGAGGTGTCCCTGATAAAAATGCCTATTAGAGGAATGGTGTTGAAGCTGCGGTGGGGCCTCAGGTCTCTCACAGCTCCACAGTCCTGCACGAAGTTAGGCCACAGGATCAGGCTGGGAGCTTTCAGGGACCTGAAAGGAGGGCTTGTTGTAGAAAAACGTTCTGCGCATCCAGAGTTCCAAAATGAATTGGGTTCTTAGAAAACAGGTACAGAAAAGTTGGCCAGCTGACAAGACAGGTAAGTGGAAAAGTACAAACAGTATCTCAGTCTCAAAACCTGAATTCTAGTAAAGCTTGGGCGGCAGGTCCCAGGCAGAACGGCGACACACTTAGGAGGCTTCCTCCCAAGCCAGGAGGGGCGAGGGGCAGTCCTTCTCTCACGCCGTGGTCGGCCAGGTCCACAGGTTGTGGCTAGCAGCACTCAGGGTTAAGAGCATACGAAGTGAGTGGGGAACGTCTCTCAGGAGTCACCGCTTGTCTCCACCTTGCTGTTCCTGGAAGTGGGTGAGCCACTTCAGCCAGGGAGGTCTCCCTCCTGTCCACCCGGGACTCCAGGAGCAAACAGCTTTCCTCTTTCTTCCGAAGGGTAAGATGGGGCGTTAGTGACACATCCTGCTCGTCATCTCTTTCTGGAAAGCAGGGGGAGAAGGATGGTTAGGAGAAACTAAGGCAGAGCAATGACTTGTTGAAGGATTCTGACAATACCCTCGGGAGCTCTGGAACCTTTAAACAAGAGGTTGCAAGCATCGCCCACGAGTAAGGCTTAGCATGCAGATGTCTTCTGTTTGGTCTTTGGTTATTTTAAAAATCAAAGCAATGTTTAAAAATGTGGCTAACTTGCCACAAATCCAGGTTGTTCACATTTTCTGAAATATTGCAAGGTCTGGAGCCACTGGGCAACTAGAGTTCAAGAATGGCTATTCGCTTCAGATAGAGACTATGTCCTCAAGTTCACCCTAGTCCCCAACATTCCCAGTTGTCTCTCCAACAGGAATTAAGTACCACTTACACGTTGATAGGATCATTTGATTTAGACTGCTGTTTTTCTTAGAGAACAATTTCTTTCTACCTCAGTTTCCATCAAAGATGGAAAAATGAAGGATAGCAAGAAAAGCAGAAGGGAAGACATTTCTTAATGGAAGACTATACCAGTGGGTCTGACATGCAACCACCTTGCTATTCATCCATCCACAACTTTTCTAGCTCTTGTGCACATTCACAGATCCTAAATGTGCCATTCGTTCTCTTTCTCTGGGCCTCTGCACAGGCTGAGACACTTGCTTATGGCCTGCTCCAATCACATCCTGCCCTCTTTCCTTGGCTAATTGCCATTACTTTTCCCAACTCAGGCAACAAGACTTTCACTTGCCTGGCAGACCTTCTGACATTCCCACCCCACCCACTGTGGAGTTAGTCGTCCACTTGTGCCCACCTGGAGTCTTGCATGCAATAAACTGGTCTGCACATCTGTGGGTGTGCATGGACTGTGGGTATGTCTGTTAGTCCAACTCCACTGGGAGCCACTAAGTGTCAGGAAATAGAAACATTCATTCGGTCACTACATGTGCTTTCATATTGTGTCCCCTACCCTTAGCATGGTGCCTGGTACACTGGTTCCTCTGTTATCATCAAGAATGGCCTGGATACCAGGGTTGGAATGAGCCCTGTGCTGTGCAGCATTTGAAAAGACATGTTTAATGTTATAATTAGATGAATGAGCTGCATCCAAGTTGAGCATGGGAAGGCCCAGGTGCTCACCAACTCTCAGAAAACATACCAATGTGTTGTTGGTTAAACAAGCAACAGAACATACATGGCAGAATCTAGGCACTTTTGCACCCCTATCCCAATAATAATAATAATAATAATAATAATAGTAATATTATTATTATTATTTTGAAATATTTTATTGGGGAATTGGGGGACAGAAACAGCATTGGGGAATCAGGGGAGGAGAACAGACAAGTTGCTGTCCTTTTGTTTTTCAGTCTAGTTGTGGAGGACGTTGTCTCACTGGCCCATGTTGGTATTGTGATCATTGCACTCTTCCTGGGTGAGGCAGGTCAGTTACCACCGGCCACTGGATGGCTGCTCACGGCAGCTCACGCTGGCTGCCAGCCACTCACGGTAGCTTATGGCAGCCCACTGTAGCTCCACTGCAACCTATGCTGTCGCCGGCAACTCACGGCAGCCCAGCTCCAGGTCGAGCTGTTGTTCACCATCTTAGCTGTAGAGGGCACAACGTCACTGGCCCTCATGTGGGATCTGAACTGGGGCCCTGCTGCTCAGAGCTGGTGTCCCAAGCCAACTCCTAACCAATGTGCCACTCGGCCGGCCCACCCCTATATTAAATACAGGCAAGTACAAAGAGATACAGCTATTGAAAAATTAACTGAGCATCTTTTTAGGCTTATTATTTGTACTATGTACCAGGTGCCGGGAAGACAAGGCTATTGTTGGCAAGGAACTATAATCTCTCTGGGAGAAAGAGATGTAGATAACAAACTAAAATGCAATGACATAAACGCAGGTATAAATGAGGAGGGGAGGCCATTAGGTACGGCCGAACTGAATTCATCCCACTTTTGCCCTCACTACCCATGTGACCTCTCTGTGCCTTCAGGTCTTGGATGAAACGGCCCCTTCTTAGGGACACCTTCCCTAACCTCTGAGACAGGGCATATTCCCCATCTTCTACCTTTTCATAGCTTCACAGCTGGAACAGTCTATTATTTGTTTCATTCCTGACTCCTGAATTCATCCCAGGTCAGATCCTGGAAAAGCCATGAAAGACAGGGCTGTGCCTGCTATTTGCTGCCATTTTCCCAGTTCCTGGCAATTGCCAGTTAATAAATATTTGTTTAATCAAGCAAGGAATGAGCTCTCAGTCTCCTCATCTGTAAAGTGGAACAGTAATACCTACCTGAAAAGGGGATTGGGAAGGGCAAAAGTATTAACATAGGCATGGACTCAATACACATTAATCCCCTTTCCTGATCTCTCCAGAAGCACAGACATAGCAGCAGTCACTTCAGGCTGGGGGTTACAGACTTGAGAGCACTTCTCTGATAATGTACCTACTGAGAAGAACTCAAAACTTAGAGAGGGGGGAGTCTGGTGGGTAAGGGTGGGAGAAAGGCGACTGAAGAATAGGGGTACAGCTGCGGGGAGGAGTGGCTGAGGTGGAGCCAGCCAGGGATGTGGTGTTGCTGTGGCTAGAGCAGAGGACCGGGGCAGGACGGGGACGGCGGGTAGGGAAACAGGTGCATGCACAACTACTCAAATGAAGGGCCATGCCCTGGTGTGAGAATGAAAATAAATGATAACAATCCAAAAATGAATTTGTTGTTCCTTTGTGAAGCTTCCAAAGGTTCTTGTGTGTTTGCTTAACTTTTGATGACAGAGGTGACAAAAATAAGACAGAACTACAAAGCCTCTCTCTCTCTGTGTGTGTGTGTGTGTGTGTGTGTGTGTGTGTGTGTGTGTGTGTGTGTCTGAGAGGGCACGAGACAGAGAAAGAGTGAGAGAGAGATGGGATGAACACAATTTTGGCTTTATAACGAATTCCGTAATTATTTGCAATGGGTCAATACTTTTGGAAAGAAAGGAACTAGCATTTGTTAAGCACCTCTGAAATGCCAGGTGCTTGGGGGTGCAGGGGCTGTTTTGTCATGGCATCTGTAAAACTCTGAGAGAAGGAACGAAGACCCCATTTGCCCAAAGAGGGATCTGGGCCTCAGGGTGGAAGTGGTTAGCTCCAGGTGAATCGGTAGTGCAGAGCCTAAACAGTAACAGCGGCTTCAGTCACACAAAGGTCTGTTCTCCCTCAGCCTCCGTGTCCTCTGGGGCTCCTCTACAGAAATTACATCATGTACCCCTTACCCTAATCCGGTGAAGTGACATCTGCCCTTCCCCCAGTAAGCTGGTGAGGAAATAGGCTCAGAGATGAAACACAGCTTATCCAAGTCACACAGGCAGTGACAGGGGTGGGATGTAAACTCAGGTCTGAGTGCAAAGGCCAGCTCTTTCCTCTACACCACGTGATGGTGGTTTAAAGTGTCTGAGATGCTCTTACAAATATGCATTCAGATGATGTTGACTTTTATATATTAA